GGGAGGGAACAAAGGAAAAAAAAAAACCCTGTTTCAAAAAACCAAAAAGAAAACAAACAATGAAAAAGCTTCAAAGGGCTGAGAGCCAGTTGGTTCAGTTGAAGCGCCTGTGCAAGCATGAGGGCCACCACCCAGAAAAGACGGGCAGATGTTCCATGTCTAACTCCAGGGCTGGGAGACGGGGTGGGTAGAGATGGGAGAAATCTCTGGAAGCCAAATGGATGAGCTCCAAGTTCAGTAAGATCCTGACTCAAAAAAATAAGGTGGACAGCAATAGAGGAAGGCATTGGGCATGGGCCTCTGGCCTCCACACACAAGCACACGTCTTCATGATGCCGATGATTTTGCATTACTGTGTCGAGAAACCAGAATAAAAGTTTTGTGCATTACATATACATGAAGGCAAAAGCGAACACAGGTAAAATGAAAGTTCATGTTATATTCTCACCCACTGGCTTTTGTTTCTTCCACCAGTTTTCCCTTTTTTCTATTTCGTCCTGTCAAAATCTCTTTAGGACACACACAACAGTATTACTTGTAGTTGCGGGGAAATAAAACCTTGCGTAAATAGCCCACTGACCCTATTCATAAAGGTTTTCAACGAGCCCCCCCCTCGCCTCCCACAGGTTCTGGTGGTGTGCTTCACCGTTTTCGGAGGGTTGATGGCATTTAACTACAACCGTGCGCTCCAAGTGTGGGCCATCCCTCTGCTGCTAGTTGCCTTTTTTGCCTACCTAGTGGCTCACAGTTTCTTGTCTGTGTTTGAAACTGTGCTGGATATACTTTTCCTGTGCTTCGCTGTGGATCTGGAAACAAATGATGGATCGTCAGAAAAACCGTATTTCATGCACCCAGAGTTTTTGGTAAGCAAACCTTTCACCTCCTGTTGTAATCACTATCCTCACAACCTCCCAAAGTGTCGAAGACTCACACATGGCAGAGGCAACACACCCAGTCTCATTTCTGGCCCAAAATTCCAGAGGGGTTTGGGAGCTCAGCTTTCTGAGGCTGAACCACTTCCTTAAGAGACCCCCCACCCCTCTCCAAAGAGAAATGAGAATATAATGGGGCATATGGGCTCTTCCATGGGACTCTAATGGACACAGTAGTAGCTGGTTTATTTTTGGCATTAAAGCTTGATCTTGCCTGGGAGTTTGAACAACTGATGTTTATGGAAAGCATGTTGCATTTCCAAGCACCATTCAGACCCACAAAGCTGTGGGTAGGGCTCATTGCTCTGCAGACTGCTAACTTTTTGTGCCAGTACTGACAGATCCACAGCCCTTGGGCCCCTCTGCTAACAGGGCACACCCTCCTTGTATCTGGAACTAGCAGGCAGTGGTTTCCAACAGCTTTTTGTAATACAATGAATTGCTCATGATTTTGCCTTATCCTTTTCGGACAGGAGACATTTCAACAACTGAGCTTTGGCAGCTGGCAGTCAAATGATATTTTTTTTTTCATTTTGTTGCCATAAAAATTAAGGGTTAAGTTCCTTTGGTCTTAACATTCAAGGCACTGTTGGTTCAGCAGACATTGGATTCTAGCACTTCTATGAATGTATGAGTATTAATTTGAATGTCCCACTCACAGACACACAAGGATACGATTTTTACCTCTCTTCATGTACTCTGGTGGTTAAATTAAAGCTAACTTGTCTACTCTTCACAACTTGTAAGTTTCCAGCTAAAAGTCTACTTCGAAATCTACCCCATGAGCACACAAATGTTTTTAATACACTTGGAAAGCTTTTAAAATTCTATTTCCTAAAATTCCAGGGCCATGAGTAATGGCTACCCAAGGTGCTGTCACATCACTGTGTCATCATTCTTTTGTTTTTCAGAGTTTTATAACACGGACCAACAACTGTAACAATGCAAGGCCTCGAGGACACAGGGACTCACTACCAAATGAAGAGGGAACAGAACTCAGGCCCATTGTGAGATAGGGGCCCAGAGACTTTTGTACCTGAAGAACCTGAGTGCACTTTGACCACACTGTGATACTGAAACGTCTACAGCTATTTTCACATGAACTGGGGCAAGAAAAATCACGTGAAATCTGTTTATATGCATCACTTTAGAAGGCACAGTATGTCTGGGCACAGTGACATACATCTATAATCACAACCATTAGGAGATCGAAGTAGAAAGACGACCAGTATAAGGCCAGCCTGTGCTACACAGGAATTTAAAGCCAACCTGAATGCTATGTAGAAACCTTATCTTAACATAAATAAATAAAAATAAAAAATAAGATTGGCTCACTAAGCTTGAGAACCTGAACTGACCACCCCAAGACCCACATAGTGGAAGGAGAGAACCAATTCCCACAAGTTGTCCTCAGACCTCCACACATGCACACACACACTTAAAATGTAAGTAAATAACATACTATGTAAAAACTCAACCTGAGTTTGTGAGGTCACAACCAGTTGTTTCTTTTTTTTTTTTTGGGGGGGGGGGGTGGGGACAGGATTTCTCTGTGGCTTTGGAAGCTGTCCTGGAACTAGCTCTTGTGGACCAGGCAGGTTTCGAACTCACCAGTTTATCTTTTTTTAAGGATTTTGTTAGCTGAAATCTCTAGAACACTGTTCTTACAGCCAGGCAGTGGTGGCTCACGCCTTTAATCCCAGCACTTGAGAGGCAGAAGCAGGAGGATCTCTGTGAGTTCAAGACTAGCCTGGTCTACAAGAGCTAGTTCCAGGACAGCCTCCAAAGCCACAGGGAAACCCCTCCTCAAACTACCCTCTCAGAAAAAGAAAAAAAAAAAAAAACCTACAAAACAAAACAAAAAAACAAACAAAAACACTGTTCTTACAGAGCAGGACTTTCGCTGTTTTTTCCAACCCTGGACACAGGCTAAGAAAGCATATTAGCATCAGTTACAGCTCTTACACTTAGGCTTGACCTGGACTGGAGCAGGCACACACAGACAGGCAGCTAAGCAGGATTCGACTCAGCTTGTTGTGGGCAGGTGGCACCTTCACAGCTGATGTTCACCTCCACCCCAAATGAGACTTGCCTGGGAGCTTTTTAAAAGCTACTACTTTTAAAAATAGACCTGAACAGCAACTGAAACGTAGATGGCGCGTTCAAGAGCTTTTCCTTTTCAAAGCCCTAAACAAAAGGACCTTTAAACATGAGGGCAGGCACCTCATCCGAGAGATCTGACTGACGTGGCTGGCCAGCCATGTGATAATACAATACAAGGCTCCCTTCCCTTCCCTGTCCCAGCTGCCTCTGCTTTTGACAAGAAACAGCCTGACAGCTCAGGTCCACTTTAAATGCAAATTTTTTCCTTAACAGAATCATTTAGCTCTGAAGTCTCCTACAACAATTTACAGGACACTCCCAGAAGCATCGAATGAGTCACAGAAAGATGGGCAAGTATACGTCATTTCTGTGGGTTCAAGCATCTCTTTATCTGTCTTGGCAAAAACCACCCAAGCTTAACAGCCAGCCCTATCAGAAGAAATCGCTTGGCTGAAACAAGGTCAGAAGGCGTGAGCGACCAACTCCCCTTGGTGATGGTACTGTTGTTTCCCACACTTAGCTGCTGTTTGGCCTTCTCTAAGGTGACAATGATGGTTTAGATCTCCCCCCAACACCCCATGTCAGCTTCCAACATCATTCATATCACACCCTCAGTGCATACATAATAACCCTCCCTTTGCAGGGAGAAGTGCTTTTAAGGGTATTCCAAATTGAAGATGAACCCAGGACAGGGCAGCCAAGTCATAATAAAACAAGGACCAGACAATTCTTGGCTGTAGGCAATGGCAATGTTTCTTCTTCTTGTTGTTGTTTTGTTTTTATAGCTTTAAAACATGAACTCTGTGGCTCAAGCTGACCTCAAACTTACAGAAATCCTCTTGCTTCAGCCTCCCTAGGGCTGGGATTACAGGTGTTAAGTCACCACACCCAGTCTCCATGAGCGCCATGTTGTATGAATTAAATAATGCTGGAATACCTTCTCTTAGTGTCCAAGGAATGAGGCCTCCAGTTTCTGACCTGACTCTGCCTGCATAGAAGCTAGCCAGAAAATAAGCAGCCTGTGGTTCATATGAATGTTCAAAAAAAAATATTTATTTATAAAAAATACAATGGGATAAGTTTATGCTGAGAAATGCAGCAATAAATACAGTCGGGGGAAACAGAGCGAGTCTACAGTGATTACATTGGCACAAGTGAAGTCTGCAGGCACACCACCCAAACCTGCACGTCTGCGGCCATTTTTGTACACACGCCCTTAGAAGCGCCACTCTGAAAAGACCTTGTCAGCTTAAGGAAGAGAATGAGTACACGTATAATCACAAATGCACACTGATCATGACTTTATTTAGAACTCAGCAAGCAGTACTGCAGAAAAACATCCACGTGTCAGGTTCTAAATGCTGCATCTTAGATTTAGTTGGCAAAGACCACATTTAGCAAATCAAACATTTTAGTCTTCCATGTACAAGCCAGATACACGCTAAACTGTAAAAAAAGAAAAAATAGTTTCCTATTGTTTGAAAATACCAGTTTAAGTGTAAGGTTGTAAAAAAGAATGCATAGATCTTCAATAAAAGAATTGGCTGTCCTCTCACAGCATTGCTTTTTACTTCATATGCAAGTTACTGGTTATGCTGTAGGATTTAATGGTTACAGCACTAAAAGGCAACTATTTAGGGAGGAGGCAGAAAAAGGAAAAAGGAATGTATGTAAGGCATTTTTTTTTTAAGGTAAGATAAGCATAATAGTGTTTTAGGAAGACGAGAATTACTCAAGGCTAGCTTGGGTCTCACTGGATAAAAACAATGGACTAAATACTGCGCTCCTGTATCTGACTAGTAATCAATGCCCTGGTCATCACCATATTGGTACTCTCGGGGGTAGTCTTCTGGGTACTCGCCATGGTACTCATCGGGGTATTCTGCCTGATAATCACTATCACTGATTTCTGACCCATTTGTTCCTGTGCCCTGGCTTCCGTTGTGAATGACAGGTTCTGTGGGGGCGGCACAGTACTTGGGGTCATACACTTGCCGCCCAAGCCCATATACGCTCATTCCTTTCTGGGAAGCAACTTTGTTGGTACCCATCTGTAGAGAAATGGTTGAGTTGTCCACTGGCTGTAATGTCAGCTTCTGGTCGTAGATGTCTCTTCTGGTACCCGGTGCTAACATCCCAGCCTGTTATTAGAACATAACAGTACACAAGGTAAGATAACAGCTGAGATCTACACTTGGTAATACTGTCTAAATTATGAAAGCCACACGAATGTGAACATTGACATGGTAACTTTCAATTGGTCTGATATGGACCTAACTTACCAAAATATTCTTAAACTACCCGTTTTTATGATGGGAGTCACTGAGGCTTGAGCTGAGCCGGGCCATCTTTCACATCACTGCCCTCAGTAAAATCACCATACAGCCTCCGACAACTTATAGTGATCTTTTCCTTCCTATGTGTAATACAGAAGTAATACTATCTACCACTAAGTAAAGAATTAGACACAAAGAATATAAAAACAAAGCCCAGGGCTGGGGATACTGCTGTGTGGTTAAGAGCACTTGTCTGTCTTACAGAGGACCCAGGGTCAGTTCCCAGCAACCACACGGTGGCCCAAAACTATCTGTAACTCAGTTTCAGAGCATCCAGTGCCCATTCCTGACCTCCAAGGGTACCAGGCATGAACATGACACACACACACACACACACACACACACACACACACGTACATACACACTAGCCATATACAAAACCCCCCAAATAACTAACATTTTTTATATTTAAAAAAGTTCCTCACTGGCATACCTAAAGGTGAGACTGTCTATTAATGGCCACCCAGACAACCGATTAAACAAGCATACATGAATTCATCAAGAAGTGTACCGAGCCGATCTAAGGGATGGGGGTCTTCCCAGGAGGTGTCACAAAGAGCCACCCACTACAGAACAGTTCCTTCTTTCACAATACAGTAACTCACACCTCAGTTTCTCACTTATGCCAGCACACACTTTCAGATACAGAGTGGGTGAAAAGGAAAACGTGAGTGGCAGCTATGAGAAACAGCTGACGGGATGGGGCATGTTCCATAAAGGAAAAATGACAGATTTCACCATAAAAATAAAAGGGTTACCAAAACCTATTCCTGCTACTTTTTAGATATAAACCCCTGCTGTTCTCAAATGGTTATCGGTACCTTCTTGCTTTTATTATTTATTATTTGTGTGTGTGTGTGTGTGTGTGTGTGTGTGTGAGAGCGAGAGAGAGAGAGAGAGAGAGAGAGAGAGAGAGAGAGAGAGAGAACGGGGTGGGAGGAAGGGGGGAGTGCTAGATAGACATAGGGCCAGGGTGCGTGCACACGAGAGATATCTCTATAGAGTCAGTTCTCTTCTTCCACCTTCATGAGGTCCCAGGGATCAAACTCAGGTCACCTGGCAAGTGCCTTTACCCCCCTGGGCCATCTTGTCCACACCCGCATCCATTTAAAAACTCTTACACTAATAAAGGAATTACCACTATCAGATTGGCCTATGTGCGTGTCTACGGGACATTTTCTTGATTGCTAATGAATATAGGAGGGCCCCCTGGGCAGGGAGGCCTGGCTGTCTAAGAAAGGTGGCCGAGCAAGCAGGAGGAGCCAGTAGATGACATTCCCTGATGGCCTATGCTTTAGCTCCTGCCTCCTCCAGGTTTCTGCACTGGCTTCCCTGGAGAATGAACTGTGACATGGAAATGTAAGCCAAACAATCCCTTTCCTCCCCAAGTTACTTTTAGCCAGGGTGTTTTATCACAGCAATAGAAATAGAATACTAACAGTTACAGAATTGCTGAACTAGCATTTCCTACAAATTCATTTCTCTGGTAACTTAATGTTAGGTTTCAAACCAGGACAAATGCCTGAGGTGCCATTTTAACTATCAAAACGGACCTGGCCTCCAGCTTCTCCCAGCATCCTTCGTCCCTACCTGTTATAGGGTATGTCTGGCACACCTAGTCCCCAGAGGCCATTCCCTATATAATCCAGACATTCTAGTTACCCACCCTTTGTACCTTTGGCCTCCTGGCTGCCGCACCTGGTTCCCCTTTCTCCCTTTCCCCCTCCCCATCTCCCCACATGGCCCAGTTCAGTGTGGTCATGTCCACTCTGGACTCTCCCAGATGTGCCTTAAACTTTCTCCTCCGTCTTACCTAGGAGCAGTCATGTCCTTTCCTTTTATGTTTTTCATTCATTTAATATTTCCTAAGAATGCTCTTAGTACAAATGCCAGATAATCTTATGGACCTATTGAAATAGGCCCCTTGAAAAGTAAAACCAAAAAGGGGTAAGGAAGAACCAACCATCTTTTACTTGGACTTTGGAGCAAGAACACATATAAACATCACTTTTTCTCTCCTGGTTAGGCAGAAAGGCCAACTGTTCTTACTGCCAACCAAAACCATTAGTCACGCTACACTCTTCAGGCTGGAGAAAGGCTCCTTTCATTCCTTGCTCTTCCATCTCCCAGCAAAACCTACTTTCCTGAAGACTAAAAATACTATAGAAAAATACCATTTGAGAATCTAGCTTCACTCAGGGTCAGCGCTCACTTAGCAGGCCCCTGTGCCCTCTGCTTACCTGGCTGGCTCCCTTGTTGGTGCCCATCTGCAGACTAATCGTGGTCTGGTCAAAAGGCTTGTCAGTCTGCATTTTGGGATCATAAAGATGCCTCCTGGTCCCATAGGCTGTCATCCCCGCCTGGCTGGCACACTTGTTGGTTCCCATCTTTTAAGTTAAAAAAAAAAAAAAAAAAAAAATCAGCATTAATAACCAGAAGTCAATAACATAGACACAATAAAATGTTCTGTTACCGAGGAAATGTCAAGTAGACCTGGGGTGGACTCAGCTCTAGAGTCCTCATAGGCCATGTACAAAGATCTGGGTTCAATTCCCAAGCACCCCCCAAAAGATGGGGGGAGCCAGGGACTTACAAATTCCTGAGCTAAAGTGTCTCTAGGCAACTAAGTATGAAGGCCCCTCTGTGCTTTGAACGCAAACTGTGAAGGCTAACTTTAAAAGAATTCCAAACACTCTAAACACACAGCTCCTCATGGAACAATCAGCTGCATATAAACTCACAGAAAGAGGTATAATATTAAATAGGAAGTTACTGTGTTGGCAGAGCTATGGATAAATTCCCTGACGCTCTTTCTGTATTCTCTGTAGCACAGGTACGGGGTTAAAGTGTGCCCACTTCAGTCAGGGAACCCAATAGCAACTGTAGACCAGAAGACAGACAAGCCCTCCAACTCCAGCTCCAGGCACACCCAACCTTTCTGTTGTCATCTACAAAGTTCACCCTCCAGAAGCACATCAAGCCACAAGGAAAGGAAAATTTCTAAAAAGCAACAAAAAAATAAAAAAAAATAAAAAATAAAAAAAAATCTTGCATTGTTTCAGTAAGTTCATAATTTGGGCTGGGCTGAAATCCACAGCTACCTCTGCTGCATGTGCAGCCTGTGTGCTCACAGTAAAAACAGCAAAGCAAAAGCCGGTACTTGGCAGTCATCATCATTTTCATGGAGGAAAGATCCATTTCATTCCTACCGTGCTGGCCAGAACCAGAATGAGGCAGTAAGAGGGCAAACTGAAGCAGGATCAGAGGAATAATTAACTTTTCGTCTCAGCTGAGAACTACATGAACCCATGACTTCTCAGCACAGTCGGCTGTGCTGGAGGAGGAAACTAGTTCCTGCTACTGTGAAGAGTTTGGGGCTTTGCTTTTTTGAGAGTCTCATATAAACCCAGTCTAGCCTTCCACTCGCTAGGTAGGCAAGGATAACCTTAAACTCCCGATCGTCCACTTCCCGAGTACTGGGGTTATATATAGGTGCACATCACCATGCTCAGGGGACACTTAGAAAACTTCTATTACTAAAAGCAAAACCCCGAACAGGAAACAATTCACACACACATAAGAAAAAAAAAGGGGGGGGGAGATTACTGCAATATTAACATTTGCATAGATGCAACTAGAGTTTGCAGTAGACACCTGTGAATGCCCTTTGGGTTTTATGTGCATATGTGTCTCTATGTATGCCTAAAGTCACACACACATAGAAACCCACATTTTACAAAAATACACACATCCCTTACAAGTTAACAGTATTTTATAACCTTATCTTCCCCTTAACTTATTTTTGCAAACACTGGTGTTAATTTTTAGGCTGCAGGTTCCAACTCATTGATCAATCAGGGTCTGGACTCTTCCTTCCATACAATATTATACTTTTTAAAATTGAAGTCACCTGACATAGACTCAGTCAAGAGGTCCTTGGCATTCACATCACTTGGCTGTGGTTTTGTGACACTCTCCAGGGAGACTGTGAGCATTACCTTAACCAACCACTTCCCGAGCACTAACCTGACCCAATCAGCTAAGCCAGTCACAATACCACACACTGCTAGTGTATAATGATTCTGGCATCATGGGCTTTGTATATATTCCATTGGTCAATAACATCTAAGAATTTATAAAGTGCATTTCCTTTCTTTTTTGAAAGACAATATGATTAGAAACAACAATGACTTAACTTCCTAGAGAAACAATGGTCAAGTTGGGCGACACACCTGAAGTTTCTTTTAAAAATACCAACATTTTAGTCAGCAGTAGTGCACATCTTTAATGTGCACTCAGGAGGCAGAGGCAAGCGGATCTCTTAAAGTCCAAGGCCAGTCTGACCTACAAAGTGAGGGGGGGGGGGGGAAACAAAATACTATCATCATTTTCTTATATAGCTCTTATTTAGCTCTTATTCCTTCTTTTCTTTCCTCCTCTCTTTTCTTCTTCTTCTTTTTTTAAATGTCTTGAGACAGGGTTTCTGTGTGTGGCCCTGGTCATCCTGGAACTTGCTCTATTGACCAAGGTGGACTCAAACTCAGAGATTTGTTTGCCTTTGCCTCCTGAGTACTGGGATAAAAGGCCTGTGCCACCACTGCCTAGCTAATTTTCATTTTTTGAGACAAGATCTCATTCTGTAGATCAGACTGGTCTTGAACTTGTTTGTAGCCCAGGAGTACTTCAAACTCAGAGCAATCCTCCTGCGTCAGCCTGCTAAGTGCTGGGATTACAGGTGCAAACCACCACACCCCACCATGGGTTTTAAATAGATTGAAACTGTATAAGCCATGTATATATCCAAGCAATCTATATTATAGAACTTTCACAAACACTTTACTCATGAGAGGCATAACATTTTATGTGGCAATAATTAATGACACTGTGTTAATGAATGAAAAAAACAGCATCACACCACTTACCTGTAAACCAATTACACTTTGGCCAGCCTTTAATTTGCCTTCATCGAAACGTCTTGTTTGTTTTTCTGCATACTTAACTCCAATGTCAATGGTCGTGTGGAACCCTTTTGTTTTTGCCTAGACATAAACACATTCATCAGCTGAGTTGGAACACAGATATTCTGCCACCAGCATTTTGAAAAGGAAACAACAAAGAAATGATGTCCACAGACGGGCTTCATGGGGGAGGTCACATCATTCCGGAGGAAGAAAACATACTTAGGGCTACTCAATGATAATTCTGTACCCTTTGAAATGTGAGGGTTCTAATTAACCTCTCTGGCACAAGCTGATGTCAGCAGTCTTTTCACAAAGCTAGTAATTACGGAAGACACAGGCCCCTCCCCACCGGGTTTGTGCATCCCTGAGACAACAATGATGTAATTCACCACCTATGTGCAGGAAGTTTTTTGACAGAGTGAAAAGCATGTACGTACCAGGCCTGCTAGAGCCACCAGCGTAGTCTGAACCTGGGTCATGTTGCCATTCTCAAAAAGATCATTTGCTTCAAATATGTCATGGGGCTTCATTCCATAAGCCTGAATAGCTTTAATAAAGTTGCCGATATTCTCCAACTATAAACAGAAAGAGTCATACAAGGTTTGGAGCTAACAATGGACGCACCAAGATTTTTCAGTCTTCACGAATGGTTAACAAGACTCCAGACAGAAGGATTTTGGTTAGGATTCCCTATCAGATACAAAGTAAGCACATAGCTTTTTCTGGAAAGGGTCCTATAGATCAGTTTTTTAAAGTAGATCTAAATAAAAACAATATCCCCCCAAATCAAAAACCACCAGCGCCCCCCACCACAAAAAAAGGAACAAACAAAAAACACATTTTTTTTTGTTGTTGTTCTTGATCTGAGACAATAAACAAACAAACCAGAAAGCTCAACCTGGCCACAAACTGGTTACAGAGCCAACAAAGATCTTTAATTTCTGATACTCCTGCCTAGATACCCTCCCTCCATACCTGGTGTTAGAATTAGAGGTGAGCACTATCACCCTATTTATGCTGTGCTGGGGATCAAACCCCAGACTTCCCAAATGCTAGACAAGCACTCTACAAACGGGGCCACATTCACACCCCGACACTCCCTGCTTTTTAAAGCTCTGTAAGGACAAAAAAATCAGCCATGTGTGGTATGCATGGATGCATTCTGAGGGCCTACATTAGATATTTCTTCTATCACTCTCCACTTTACTGACTGAAGCAAGGAGGGTCTCCGTGCTCCCAGGCGCACTACTTAGCCAGTCTAGCTGGCCAGCTTGCCCTGGTGATTTTGTCTCTGCCTCCATGTAATTGTTATTATAGGTTCACCCTGCTTTTACAGGGATCTGAACTCAAGTCCTTGGGCTTAGGTGACCACTGCTCCCCAGGCCCATTATCCTTACATGTGTTTAAGAATTCTGTGCTATAGCTATCTAGGCCTGGAGTTTTGTCAAAAGTTACACACATATATCAATAGTTCACTGGGTTTTAATTTTAGTTTCAAAGTAAGCTGGCTACCTACTTAAGACCAAATAAACAGCCAATGCCACTTCCCATGCACCAGTGATATGAAACTGTGATGCCATGTTCATCATAAACCAGGAGTCACTGCATTAAATGCCTTGCTCTCCCCCTTTTTTCTTATGGTCCAGATGGTATTTGCGTCAAATTGTATCAAATCCTTCAAAGCATACTAACTACATGCAGAAAATTTCTAAAACTAAACATGAGAAGAGACCAGTTCAGTAAGCAATCATGCCAACATTTTTAATGGCAAAAAACAAATATAGCCGTGTGTGCAACTTTCTGTTTACACACACACACACACACACACACACACACACACACACACACACACAATTAACACAAAAAAATTGACCTTTTTCGCCAAATAAAAAGAAAACCAGTTGAGATGGTGCAGCTTACTTGTAATTCTAAGCCTAGGGAGGCGGAGGCAGGAATATCCTGAGTTCTGTCCATTGTGAAGTATATAATGAATGAGGCCAGCCTGGGCTACAAAGTGAAACCCTTGACTCAAACAAGAGAAGGAAAGGAGGGAATGGGAACAAGAGAGGGAACAGAGGGAGTAGAGGAGAAAGGAAAGAGCAGAGGGAGGGGAGAGAAGGAGGGAGGAGGTGAGGAAAGGGATGGATTGGAGGTTGCTCACTTGGCAATTACCTGAGGCCAGTTTAGTGAGGATTCATTGACTTTCTTCACAGAGCCTGGCTGTAGCTTGTTGATGAGTCTAAAAACAAAACCACAAGGACATTTTTTGGGTCAAAACCAAAACTAGAATGTTAGGCTGATCCCCTGGAGTCAGTGAAGGGAAGTATTACACACTGGTAGACCATCAAGGTCGGCATCCTAGATTTGGAACCAGGATTAAGGCAAAGTCGCAGGGACAGGAGCAGGAGAGCGGGAACCACCGGGATGGCCACTTACTCGCAGAGGATGATGCCGTCCTTCAAGCCCAGCTGGAAGTTGGTGCCGATGCCCATGCCCGTCACCTCTTCTATCCAATTGCGGAGATCTTCCTCCGCTTGTTGGTCATACTTGGATGCAATCTGAAATAGAGGGGTTCAGTAACAGGGTGCTGCCCACCGCCGACTCACAGTCCTCAGTTGTGTTCCTTACCCACTAAGCCCAGCTGTGACGCGCAGGAGAGTTCACAGGTGACCGAAACCAGCTGTTACAGCTTCAGTAACTACATACACACAAGCTGTCGGTGAAGACAGTGTCCACTAAGGAGCATGGAGAGAGAAGCTGGGACCAAGAAGAGAATCCAACAAGACAAGACAGAGTCTGAGCCACGGCACAAGGGACCCGGTTTAGCACAGTGTTGTAATAAGGCATCAGCTGAACCTTAAACTTTAAAGACTGTTAATCACCACATTCCAAAGAAAGACGGAGAGAGATTCCAACACATGGGACACAGTATCTCAACCATCTAGGACATACCATTCCAGGAGGTTGTCCAGAAAGTTCTGAGATCTGCCTTCTATTACATCAAATACAAACTATACTGCACCCACATGCGTGGGCATGCAAGAGGACAGGGACACAGGGACACACACAGACACACAGACACACACACACGGACACATACACAATAATAAATACACTTCTAAAAATACATTCAAAAGTCATTTCTCTGGGCTTAAAAAATACTACATTTGAAAGATCCTTTCATAATAATATCATAACCTGTGGAGACTAAAAACTATCAATTGGATCCCCTGGGACTAGAGGAATACAAGGATTTTAGCTACCAAATAGGTGCTGTGAATCTAATCGAGGTCCTCTGGAAGAGCAACCAGGACTTAACTGCTGAACCATCACTCCAGCTCCCTAAACTTATTTAAAAATGAAACTTAAATATTAAAAATGACATGTACTACACCATTAATCCCAGCCCCTACGAGGTAGAGGCAGGCAAATCTCTTAAGTTTAGGTTTAAAAAGTGAGACCCTGTCTGCAGGAGCAGGAGAGGGAGAGAGAGAGAGAGGGGGAGA